CTCACGCCAGCCCCACGATCCTTGCTGTACCTGAACCCATCCTTGTAGCCACTGTGTCAATCTACGTGGCTGGTGGGGTCAAAGTGCTGACCTTTTGTCTCGCAGCCAAATAATGTAACCATGCCACCACCAGCGCTCCTTGGTCCCTCCGGGGCACATACAAAGTAGCTACTAGTGGAGCGCGGGGGTTTGCGGGCCCATTGTTTGCCAGCCCAACGACAATGTCCACATTGTGGGACTACAAGGCCACAGGCACACCCGGAGGGAGACCGCAGCCCGGAGAAACAAGGACGGTGCACAGCGAAGGCCAGGAGAGCGCCGCCCACTCCCACCCTGACCGAGAGCCAGCCCAGCCCCCGCACGCAGCCCCCGGAAGGATACTGGTCACCATGAGGATGGTGCAGACGGTGCAAAGACACAGGCGCAGCGGCCCGATGCAGGGCGGCCCGACGCGGGGCAGGTTCTTCTTCCGCCAGAACAGGAGAAGCTGCAGCCAGAAATAGAAGATGCCCACGAAGAAGGCGAAGAAGGCTCCGGTGAGGTGGGTGGTCCGCTGGTGCTTTTGCTGGTGCAGGAGATGGAAGAGAGCTGAGGGTGAGGTGGGAGGGCGAGGGCCGTGGTGGGGGTGCAGGGGAAGGAGACAGTTTACCAATGCGCTAGACTACGAGGGAGAACGACCGTACCAGGCGGTCAACTTACTGATTATGTTCATTGGCTATGTCAGCTCCACCAGGGCAGGGATTCAAGTCTGTGGTTCATTGTTACAGGAGCCCTGGTGGGACAGGGGTTAAGTACTTGGCTGCGAACCGTATGGTTGGCAATTCCAGCCTACCAGCCACTCCACTGGAGAAGTAAGAAGCAGTCAGCGTCTGTAAAGACTGACAGCCTTGGAAACCTTCTAGGGCAGTTCCCCTGTCTTCCAGGGGCGCTGTGAGTCAGTGGGTGTGGTTTAGGCTTTGCTTCTGTGAAGACTGACAGCCTTGGAGACCCTGTTGTGCAGTTCCACTCTGTCCTCTAGGGGCGCTGTGGGTCAGAATGGACTCCA